AACTTTAAGAAACTTAGGAAATGTCACAATGTAAGATAGCTTCTGCCCCTCACTCTGCTTAGTTCAGAATTAACCTGCGGGGGGAGCACCTACTCTCCCCCAAAGTTCTGTAAGTGAAAAGAACCACTGTTGGCTTTGTTGACCACTCTCCCTGCCCCTGGCTAGAATGGGTAACTGAATAAATCCTAAAGGTAACTTTCCCTGACAAAGAACTGCATCCGGGTTGAAATTCAACTGGCTTGCCCTGTGTTTTGGGTATCAGCGGTGTGAGCTGTGAACATGCAATGTAACCAACTGAAGAAGATCAAGGCTGTAAAACCCTATGAAAGAAGGAATTGTAACCCAGGGGGGGAGCCTATCAGAGCACTGCCATTAAGTGTCATTAGGTCCTTAAACTCTTTTATTTTGCTTCCATTCTGCTGCCTCTCTGTGTGTCACTTTCCAATTCCTTCTGTAACATTTCTAGTCTCAACCTCCAATTCTGTCTCTCTGCACTGCTCCTATACGAGTTATAGTTTAAAATATGAAATTTATATTGAATGTCTTCTGTAACCAAAGAGGTCCATTTCCCTCTACTGTACCACACACATAGGTGGCAGATCCTGAAGATTAACATAGGCTTAAGGTTGGGATCTTTACTTTAAACTCTGTCCTTTACTAATTCTCTGCCTACACTACAGTACAGCGCTCCAAACTTTTCAGCCTCAACTTTCAAGTCAGTAGTTAATTTCTCTTGAGTAGTCCAAAGAAAAATAAATGAAATGTGTGATATGATTTATATGTCATGAAGAAAGCATGACTTATTATTATTGATATTATTATGTTTGTCTTTCTTCATGTTTCCCATATTGTTTTTCATTGTTTCTGGTCCTGTTAGAGGACATGGAGGTTGGCAGCAGGAATCTGTTTTTTTGTTTTTTGTTTTTGTAATGAAGTTCAAACTCGGGCTCTTGCACTTGCAAGGCAGGTGATGGAACCACTGAGCCAAACCCCTAACCCTGTCTCCAGTCCTGTATATTATTTATTTATTGTTTGGTACCAGGGATCAAACTCAGGTCCTTGTGTTTGCAAGGCAGGCGGTGGAACCACTGAGTGAAATCCTCAGCCCTCTGGTCCTGTATATTTATTGTAACTCCTGCAACACGTACCTAGGGATTGTTTAATAAATATTGAAAATTTTAAAAAATCAAATCCCTAAAATTCCCTCCCCAAGGGTGACCCTATATAATGGAATCTTAGTGGTTTGTTTCCCCAGATAAAATGGGCCTGGGGAACTTTTCTGAGGGGCAGAAAAGGCTTAAGAAAAAAAGAGAGTAAAGTTTAAAAGTAAAGGCTTTATTTGGTAGAGACTTCAGTTAGTTGGGATTCCAAAGCCTGTGGATAAATGTATTATCCTTAAACATTCAGGTATCAATAAGACAACCCCACTGTACTTCACCAAAATATTGCCAAGTTTAGACTTTGAGTTTAGCTCTTGGCTGCTGTGCTTGGACGCTGTTCAGCCTTAAAAGCTCTTAATCATACTGTTAGAATGTGTTGTTAAGTTAGAGATGTAGCCTGGCCACTCCCTCCTTCTCTCTCTCTTTTTCCTGTTGGTGATTGAACCAGGACCTCATGACAAGCCCTGTAGCCTGATTTTAAGTAGCTACACTTGTTTCTAATGACCCACAAGAGACATGTTCATAGGTCAAGCATGTCTAGTTAAATGCTATAATGTATATAATTTTAAAAAATAAATGCCGAATATAGGAAAGAAATGGAATCCATAAAACAGATTCAAACAGATATCCAGGAGATTAAACACTCCATAGAAAGTGTACTCAACAGAATAAAAGAATGCGATATAGAAGATAAGATTGCAGTCAGTGACCATGAAAAGAGAGGTCTCTTAAAAACAGTAGGGGATCATGAGAAATCAATCCAACAACTCCTAGATGATGTAAAGAAGAATAACATAAGACTGATAGGAATCCATGAAGTAGCAAGAGAAAATACAAAGGACTTAAAAAAGCTGTTTGCAGAATTAATGACAGAAAACTTCCCAAACAGAGGGGAAGAATTTGACATTCAGATTACTGAGGCATATAGGACCCCAACTAGCTACAATAAAAAAAAAAACCTACACCTAGACATATAATAATCAAGATCCCAGAAACTCAACAGAAGAACAAAATACTACAAGCAGTAAGAGAAAAGAAACAAATCACATATAAAGGAAAGCCCATCAGAATCAAAGCAGACTTCAACACAAACCCTTGGGGCAAGGAGAGCCTGGAATGAGATATTTCAAGTACTAAAAGAGAACAACCTCCAACCTAGACTGATGTATCCAGCAAAACTCTCTTTCAAAATGGATGGGGAAATAAGACACTTCCACAACAAAGAACACCTGAGAAACTACATGAATACCATACCAGCACTACAAGCAATTCTAAACAAGATCCTAGAAAAAGACAATGAAGGCAACAACACCATGAAGCCCAACAGAGCAAATCAAATAGGCAAGGCAAGAAATTAAAAGGAGAAGGTGAAAAAGTAAAAAGAATCAACAAAAGCCCAATAACATGCCAATAATAAGTCAGTACATATCAGTTAACCATCAATGTCAATGGCCTCAAGTCACCAATCAAGAGAAATAGACTGACAAAATGGAATAAGAAGGAAAATCCAACAACATGTTGTATACAAGAAACACACCTAGTGCAAAAAGAAGCCCAGAGACTGAAAGTGAAAAGATAGAAAACAATTCTCCATGTGACAGGAGCTCAGAAAAAAACAGGGGCAGCAATCTTATTGGCAGACAAAGTAAATTTCAAACCAAAACTGATTCTAGTATTATTGATGTAGGACGGTACTGTATCATACCTCTATGAATGTGAAATATCTTATACCTGTTTTATAATACATAGTAGGGACCATGCTTTATCAGAGCTACATTTAATGATATTACTCTAGAATGTTCTCTTTCCAGATGATGATTAAGATGCTAATAAAAAAAATGGTTCCAGGTACCACAACAGCAATAGAACTTTGCTGTTTTCTGGATATTATTCTTTTCTTTGTTTCTTTTTGTTTTGTTTTTTTTAATGGAATGTGCTGAATGCCTATAATTTTTTTCAGATGACTGCAG